AGTTCCACCTTGATGCCATTGCTACCATCTCCAATAACTGGTTCAGTAGAAGTCACCACTTCAGCTTCCGAGGAAGCCAAGATATTAAGCTTCTTTCGGGTCTTATTAAATTTCTTGACACCTAATTTATTTCCACCAGCCTTCTCATCGCCACCAACAATGTTATCCTTATTGGAGAGTTGAGAGGAAAAATTTCCAGCTGGTTTCCCAGCCTGCTCCTGTTTTTGTGCATTGCTTGCTTTTGTTGAGTTCCAATGCTGTTGTTCCGACTTGGGATTTGATGAAGTAGAACTTTTGGGCCCCTCCACAGTGGGATATGTTGCCACCTCCTTCTGAGAACTGTATAGTTAGGTGATATAAGCAAGAGTAAGACACTATGTTTCCTAAAAGTTTACAAGTGTAATACCTCAGCAGATGAAGAATTCTGATTTCTGGAACCAGAATGTCTTGGCTTGGGAATGCTTTTCAAACTCTCTTTTACAGGGACCACATCCAAAATGGATATCGTTGATGAAGATTTATCTTCGACTTTATTGATCTTTGGCTGCCGTTTAGTTCTAACAGCAGAGGTCTGCTTAGCATTGCTAGGAGGGGAAGCTGCAGTTGACAGTTCCACCTTGATCCCATTGTTAACATCTCCAGTAACTGGTTCAGTAGAACCCACCACTTCAGCTTTTGTGGAAGCCAAAACCTTGTGCTTCTTCCACTTCTTATTAAATTTCTTGAAACCTATTTTATTCCCACCAACCTTTTCAACAATGCTATCCTTCATTCCAGTAGTAAGGACTTGAGAAAAATATCTCCTCGTAAAGGGTCTAAGACTATTTCCAAAGCACCTTGAAGTCGAACTGCTCCAGTGTGATGCATAACTGAGGGAACCGAGAAGACTTAGATGCGAAGGAAGTGCACAAGCTAACTTAAGACAAGTTGCATTTTCTCGTTTAAACTGAAGCTGGGAAACATTTCTATATACTCTGTCGACCCGAATTGATGAGGAAGAGGAAGCTGGGAAATTCTGAATCGCCCTGCATTGCAACTGCGACAACAACAGAAACAAAAGTAATCGTCAGATTCTCCATGAGTTGTACCGATGAATTTTCAAACGCTTATACATAAACGTAAACGAAAAATTGAAGCTCAAAAGAAACAAATTTGACTCCATTTCGATACTAGAACGACCAAAGTACAATGATTTAGACATAAAGAACAAGACTTTAAATCGAGAATCTAACAATTCAGAATCCCACCAAGGGAAGAGTCGAAAACATAAACCTTAGCCATGAGAGGACGAAGAGACAGAACCGAAGTAGAAGAAGAAGACTTAGCAGCCGCAAGTGAGATGGTTCTCTGCATTGAGAATACTCTGCTTGATCCAGAAACTTTCAAATCGAACAGCGAGTGATTCCGTTGCTTTTCATAAATCGAGCAGAAGGAGAAAGATTTTTGTTTAATGGCGGAGATGTCTGGTAAAGAAATTCTGAAGGGTTTACTCTGTCTCTGGGGTTTATCTGCTTAGTGTGCCTTATAACTCGGGTCGGGTCAGGTATAGATTTAGGATCAATTGGATCCGGCATATGACCCGGTCGGTCAACTGCTTAGTCAAAATAGATCGCGGGTCGGGGTTTCGTGGCCCAAATAAGACATCCGGATCCTAGCGTCTCTCTCTCTCGCCTTCATGTGGGTTTAGCTTCTGCTCCATCCGATTCAACTACGTATTTTCTCAGAAAGTTGCGTTCTTCTTGTAAGTTTATAGAATTAGGTCTCCAAATTCTTGCTGGTAGGTTCGTGATTTCAGCTGTAGTTGTTGTTCAACACTTCAATTGACCGTGTGTATGTTTCTCCTTGTATAGATATTGATTCGCTAATGCAATTAGGTCTCTCGTTTTGAATGTATTGAGATATTTTTGTCTGTGTTGATTCATATGACCCAAATCCGGCTGCTTTTGCTTTTGCAATCTTGTCAGGAACACTAGCTGAATCTATAGAAGCCAAGTGTTTATAAATGGATCGAAGGCAGCACGATTATGCTGCGTCTTCTGGGTTGCCTTATGCTCAGCAACAGCAGCAACAAGGCCCCAACTTTCAACAGCAGCAACCGCAATTCGGATTCCATCCGCAACATCAACAGTATCCAGCACCACCAATGAACGCTTCTGGTTTCGTTCCTCCTCATCCTTCTATGCAGCAATTCCCTTACCAGCATCCTATGCATCAGCAGCAGCAACCGCAGCTTCTTCCTCACCCGCAGATGTTTGGTCAACAGCAACCTCAGGCTTTCCTTCCTCATTTACCTCCACATCATCTGCCTCCGCCATTCCCTGGACCGTATGATTCAACTCCTCCTCCTCCTCCACCAGCTGATCCAGAACTGCAGAAGAGAATTGATAAGCTTGTTGAGTATTCGGTTAAGAACGGTCCGGAGTTTGAGGCTATGATGCGAGATAGACAGAAGGATAATCCTGATTATGCTTTTTTGTTTGGCGGTGAAGGGCATGGTTATTACCGTTATAAGCAATTTCTCTCTATGCACCCCCATGGAGGACCCTTTGATCCCTCATTTCCTTCATCTTCTATGCCGATCATTCATCATCCGCCAAATCCCGTGATGAGTCCTTCAATGAGCAATGTGCCCGGTGCATTGGCTGTTCCACCAATCCGCCAACCTCCTTTCCCATCATTCCATGATCACCACCAGCTGCAGCAGCATCTTCCGCAACCTCATCCTTTTGTGCCCCATGCTCGCCCTGATTTTGATCAGTCTACTCATGCATTCCGAGGTCTTTCTGGTCCACTCCCTACTGATGTTGCAATGGAACTAAATAGTGTCTTAGGCAACCTTAATGGCACCAAAGAGTCTATCAAAAGTGCTAAGATTTGGTTCATGCAGAGATCTCCCTTTGCACCAGCTTTAGCAGAGGCACTAAGAGACAGGGTTTTTGCAATGGATGATTCTGACAGACAGATGCACATAGTTTATCTAGCCAATGATATTCTCTTTGACAGGTATCTAAACTTCATTTCTGATCACTGTCTTCTGCATAGATGTAGTTTTCGTTTATCTTATCTTAGTAAAATTATGATGGGTTGCAACATTAGATGTTTCTAACCTCATATTTTTATGTCTTTTCACTAACGTATTGCTTCCTTAAACACAGTTTGCAACGGAGGACAAACTTGCACGAGTTTGACAATGAAGCTCTTGCTTTCAGACCTGTTTTGGGTTCCATGTTGGGGAGGATTTACCACTTTACACAGAACAAGGAAGAAAACCAGTCACGTCTGGAGAAGATTTTGCAGTTTTGGGCTTCTAAGGAGGTTTTTGATCAAGACACCATCTCCTCCCTTGAGAAAGAGATGAAAAGTGGACCACCTGCAAATACCTTTTCTCACTCGCCCATTGTAGCAGCAAACTCCTTACAACGTACAGGTACTCCCTCTCTTCCGTGAAGAGACAAAAAAAATATAGCTCAACCTATGTGTAAGACAAATTTGATATAGATTTGACCATCAGCAAACCTTTTATCTGTATGGACTTACAGGAATGCTGCAACAGCCACCAAACAGTAATGTCAATTTAGAGCATCTGTCTAATCTGGTCGCAACCCAACAGTTTATCCCAAATGTGATGCCTTCTAGTGTCTTTCCCGGTTCCATACCGCTTAACGCTTCTGTTCCACCACCAACCCAACCACCTGCTGGTGAGAAGCCGCCACCTTATCCTCTCTTTCCTCCTGGTCTGATCCCTGGGATGGTCAGAAAGATGCAGATCGGTAGTGGTGTGCCGTACTCTCCATTGAGCCCTCTTGATATCCCAACTGTCATACCACCATCTGATACACCTCAATCTGAAGTACTCGAGAGAGTATCTAAGTTCTTCAAAGAGATAGGTGAGGTCAACCCAAGCGAAGGTCCCATGGGATCTGAATCACAGGACGACTATGATAATTATGAGCGGGATAGTCCACAACGGAAAGGAGGTGCCTGCATTCCTCCACCTCCCAATCTACAGGTGGACCCTGAGACGGGAACATATGCGGATGGAAGCACTGATAAAAAGAGTGGATCAGGGAGATTGGGACTTGGGGCAACAGCTGATCCTAACGAACCAACGCAGTATGATGATGTTTATACATCTTACAGGAAACACAGAAGTACGAATTATCACACATCCATGAGTGCAAGAGCTACAACCAGATAAGATTCAGTTCCAGTTATTGTCTTCTAATGGACAGTTCAGTCTTGTTAGAGTAACAAAGGCGAGCCTTTTTGTATCATAGTTGTTAGTGTGGTAAATGTGATCTTCTCTCAGCCTTGAAATATAGACTTCTCATCACATCCATTTATTCCCTTAAATTTTCGAACTGAACCAAAAGTTTTTCTAAACAAGATGGAACATATTCCCTCTTTTCGATCAACATCAGAGCTCGTGATTTTTCTAATAACGGTATCTAAAGATTACTAGCTGATAGTTACGAGCTAGGTCAATTGGTATCAAAACAATGTTGGTTCCTCGTTTATAATGTTGCTCAGGTCATTTTGTCACAGATAATATATATGTTTATTCCACCTTAAGCTATGTGTGGGGATATGTATATGACAAAGACGCATATAACTTGTCCAAGTCGAAAGAGTGGAAGATGCGAGAGTAGTGGTAGTTTCTCATATTATGTACTTGCGCAAATATCAAATATCAAACTTTGATGTATTTGACATTTGATCAAATATCACACATTGTACTAAGATTTGCACAAATATATCTCGATACTGTACAATAGAATGTGTAGCATATGCTCAGGAATTCTCCTACATCCCCTGAGGAGCCTATAAATATATTTGTTACAGTTTTATATCACTATAATGTCCATGATGGAACTGAGTTATGAGATATCTTCACGTCCCCAATTATTACTTTATACGTTTAGCAAAAAGACCCGGTTCTTGGAAATTTGGGATTTAAGCAACGGGTAATCCCAACGAACCAACTAATACGATGATGCTGATAAATCTAGATGAAACTCAAATATCTGAGAAGTCTTAGTTACTTGATAACGTAAAAGTAACATAAGCATCACCCAGTCAAAATCAAGATTCACTTGTACAAAAAGGGCAAGAATAGACAAAAGTAAATGTTAAACTCCCAAAAAGCTTCATGAGAAAAATTTGTGGAGTCTGACAATTATTCAGCTTGAAGTTGAAAAGATACTAGGGTGCAAGCCTTTGAGGGTCACGAGGGAAGAGCGATGTTTTCCGGATGTTGTTCAGTGCACAGAAAAGCATGACAACTCGCTCCAGCCCTACTCCGAATCCACCGTGTGGAGGTGCACCGTACCTGTAAACATTATGTGTAGCCATTGTCAGCTTAGATAACAACTCAGATAAACAAGTAATCGAACCGAGCGGGCCCAGTTTTTGTATAATACCTGAATGAATCGATGTATGTGGATATTGTCTTCACATCAATGCCGCATTCCCCTGCTCGTTCCTCCAAGACTTCTGGGATATGGACACGTTGAGCTCCTGATATGATCTCCTCACCTAGAACAGAACAGTAAACTTAGTATCAAATGCTCAATAACATCATTGGTGAGAGCACACAAGGTAAAAATTTATAGCTCAAAGATGTACCTCTGATGAAGACATCAAAAGAGTTGCTGTATAGAGGATTATCAGCACAAGCCATTGTGTAAAAAGGCCTAACTGCCTTAGGATACCGATGCAGAATATAGAACTCAGTGTTGTACCTATCAAAATCACCAACACGATCGTATCGCAAATTTGTAACTGTGAGATACAGAACTAAATCATTTTGAAAACGAAAATGACATCAAACATGGGTAGATAGATGTGATGGATTACTTCTCCAATACAAGTTGGCCAAGTTTTCTCTCAGTTTCAGTGTTTAGATCGCCAAGAGGATCAACCTCCACTCCATCTTCCTGTCAAAGCATCAAGATTACAATTATTATCGATAGTCCATTGAAAAACTCAGGTAAAATGCAAAAAAACACAAGTCATACCTTAAGCATTTGAATCCCTTCTTCAAACGTTAACCTCAATGTTTTTTCAAGAAACTGCAATTTAGTGCCAATTATCAGAATCCAAGATACAAAAAACATTTTTAATATTCCCTGCTAATACTGCGTATGGTTACCTTCAAAGGCTCGAATGGGTATTGCTTTCCAACAGCTTCCAGTTCTTTTTTGCACTTCTCATTCAAACTAGTGAATATAAACACAAATAACTCGTCCACAAGATCCATTATCTGCTCAAACAAGAAAGATATTACCAACACTGGCAGAATAGAAGATACTTAAGAACTATGTATATTATTAACAGCACAATCTTACCTCGGAATAGTGTTTTTGAATCTCCATCTCCACATCGAGACCCACAAATTCACACAGATGTCTATGAGTGAACGAGTCCTCTGCTCTGAAAACAGGACCTATCTCAAAGACGCGTCGCAAGTCACCACATATTGCCATTTGCTTGTGAAGCTGAGGAGACTGAGCTAGACAAGCAGGTTGCCCTTTGTATTCCAACCTAAACACAGCAGAACCTCCTTCACTACTACCAGCCATCAGTTTCGGTGTGTGGATTCCAACAAAAGACTTGGATAGCAATTTTTCTCTGAAAAACTACATAAGTGATAGCTAATTCAGCAAACCAACATAGAAAAAAGAAACCAAATCATAGGAAGATCAAAACATACTACTGATAACACATTTTCTATAGTGACTATCCTACCCTAGTCATGATGCATACACAAATATTTTACCAAACCAGGCTCATATTTATTACTAACAGATATGAAGACAGCACTAAAAATAATAAAGATCTAATCATCCTCCATGTTTTAAAAGATCAAGGCCTTACATTTTCGATTTGGCACTGAATGCGGAAGATGGCTTGATTAGCGGGTGTTCTGATGTCAAGCACCCTATTATTCAAACGAGTATCCTGATTGACACGAGCAGCTGGCGTTCCAGTCTGCAATAATCATGAAAACAACAGCGCTTATGAACATATTGACCACCACCATAGAAGCATCAGAAGAACAGAAAACAACCAGAATTCACAGCAAAACTGTACCACTCCAACTATATCTACAAATCTTTTTTTTTTAAAGAAGCAAACTATACCTGAAGAGATCTTTCAATATCGACTTCACTTCGGGCAGCATCCTCCACACTAAGTGGTAGTTTTGCCAAGGCTTTGTTGATGCAGTACACTTTTCTCACTTGAATTTCAACCTGCAAATTAACATTATCGATCCACAAACACAAACATGAGTGAATGTCACTACTAAATGAAACGGGAAATTGAGAGGAGAAGAAGACAAGGAAACGAACCTGCTGCGTAGTTCCCGTCAAAGGCTCCTTGGGGAGAACAACGACACCGATGACATCGACAAAGGATTCGCGACTCAGCTGCTTAAGGTATTTAACCATGTTGGCGCCCACTTTGGTCTTCTCGGATTGGCTAACCACACACTGAACAGTTGATCCACTTGCCCTCAAGGTCACAAACCCCAATTTGCTAGACACAGGACGATTCGTGTGCACACGGCCTCTGATGAGAACCTCTGATTCCGCCATCTCTTCAACCAAATCGCTCACATCGATACACTCCTTACCTTCAATAGCCTCTCTCCATTTCCCGGCTTTCGGATCCGCCGTAGATTGTAACTCGCTAAGAGTCACGTCACCGTAGTTGCTGGAAAACTCGTCATTTTCTTCGAGAGACATGGAAGCTGTCTTCTGAGTGGCTTCTTCTAGCTCCTGCCGGCGGCGTAACTTCTCTAGCTTGGCGGCTTCCTTCTTCGCCGCTTTCTTGCTGATCTTCTCTCCAGACTCCTCCGACGGAATTTGAGGCTCCGACGACATGATGAGTCAAATATAAATCGATAAAGCCCACTGAATCCACGAAACCCTAAACTTTCGATATATCTAAGGGACTAGGTCATCAAAAAACACGAAATGGCCCTGTTAATGTTTATAGTTTTCGTTTAGACCCCAATACTTTAGAATTAGTGTTATTTAGTTACAGAGAAGACGAACCAGCTCGTATAAAGCTACGACGCGCCGCCTCATACGACGACCAATCATCCATGGCACGTAAACGACACGGTGAGCGGACACGTGTTCGTATGATAAATCGCGCGTGTGAAACATCTTTTATTGGAGAGAGTATGGCTCTGAAGCTGTCCCCGTTAATTTAAAAAAAAAAAAAACGAATTTGCCAGCAAAGGACGGACCAAAATTAAATAAAAATCCCAAAAAAAAAGGAGAGAAAAATCGGTAGTCTGGGGAAAAAAAAAGTAAATGGGAAGCGACGACTGACTCTTCTTCCTTGCTCCTTCGACCACCTCTTCTTTAGGTTTCTGAGTCTTTTTAGCTCTCAAATTTGATCAGAAGTAAGCTTTTTGGATTGCGATCTTTTTAAATTGGGGGATTTCAATTTCCTGATCGGATTCGGATTATCTTTTGTTCTCTTTACGATCCTTTTTACTTATCCAGTAACCCCCAGAGCCTAGTGTGTTTCTTTCATGTCATATCAACTGATTTTGGGGTCTATGAAGCTCTAGGTAATCTATGAGTTCTTTTGTTAGCTTATTTCATTATGGAATTATCGGATCTGTGTGTGTCTCCTTTTTGGGTTTTGTGTGAATTGAGTTTTTTTTTTTCCGTTTATAGCGACGAGTGTTTTCTTCTCATTTGTTCTCAACTTTTGTTTTCTTTGAAATGAAATTTTTGTAATTCAATGGTGAAGTTACTTGCTTTCTTCCTTTTAGAGCCACGTAGCTGAGCTGCGTTTCAAAGACCTTAATTCAGCTTTTTTTTTCTTTGAGTAACATCATCATGTCAATGTTTCTATTTTTAGGGTGTGGATGGTGTAAGAGTATCACGAGTTTTGATATAGGTTGCCGAAACATCAAAACTTTCATTTCTGGTAGCTTATTGATTTGCTCTTCAAAGGCAATTTAAAAAAAAAAAAAATTTCGTAGATATTGCAATGATAGAAAAGACCATTATGATTTTAGTGATTGTTTGCTGACTAGCCATTTGATACAAATTCAGAAATTTAATTTTTTGGTCTCTCATATTTTTTCTTTCGTCTCCTTTACTATGGTCTATCTTTGCTTCAGGTGCATGTTGAAGTGGTTGAAAGAGATCTACATGTGACTTGCAGTTCGTTCAGACATCATATATATCACTTACCACGAGATTGAACAGGATGCTTGAGAATCCAAAGTTCGATATGCACGCTATTGGCAATCACAACAACGACAACAACTACTATGCCTTCACCCAAGACTTCTATCAAAAGCTCGGGGAAGAAGGTACAAACATGTCTGTTGACAGTATGCAGACAAGTAATGCTGGTGGGTCTGTGTCAATGTCTGTGGATAACAGTAGCGTTGGTTCTAGTGATGCTCTTATTGGCCATCCCGGTTTGAAGCCTATGCGCCGTCCCTACTCTCCCTCTCTTGGCCAAAGCGTATTTCGCCCAGGAAAAGTCACTCATGCACTGAATGATGATGCCTTAGCACAAGCGTTGATGGATAGTACATATCCAACCGAGGGACTGGCAAACTATGAAGAGTGGACAATAGATCTGAGGAAACTTCACATGGGTCCTGCTTTTGCTCAAGGGGCTTTTGGAAAGTTATACAGAGGGACTTACAACGGAGAGGATGTAGCGATTAAGCTACTCGAGAGGCCAGAACATAGCCCGGAAAAGGCACAAGCCCTTGAACAGCAGTTTCAGCAGGAGGTTTCTATGCTTGCGTATTTGAAGCATCCCAACATCGTGAGGTTTATCGGCGCGTGTATTAAACCAATGGTTTGGTGCATTGTGACTGAATATGCAAAAGGAGGTTCGGTCAGACAGTTTTTGACTAAGAGACAAAACCGAGCTGTACCTTTGAAGTTGGCTGTTATGCAGGCATTGGATGTTGCCAGGGGTATGGCTTACGTCCATGAGCGCAACTTTATACACAGGGATCTAAAGTCTGATAACCTCCTTATATCAGCTGATCGATCCATCAAGATTGCTGATTTTGGCGTTGCAAGAATAGAAGTTCAAACCGAAGGGATGACTCCAGAGACTGGAACTTATAGATGGATGGCCCCGTAAGTGCTGAATAGGTTTTTAAATTGTAAATCATTTTCCATCCTTTTCTTGTCCTTCATAAACTCAAGTCTCTGAGAGTTATATATAGACTATATTCCTGTCTGTTGATTAATGCAGAGAGATGATCCAGCATAGACCCTACACCCAAAAAGTGGACGTGTATAGTTTCGGAATCGTGCTGTGGGAGCTGATAACGGGACTGTTACCGTTCCAGAACATGACAGCGGTTCAAGCTGCATTTGCGGTCGTGAACCGAGGAGTTCGTCCAACGGTCCCAACAGATTGTCTCCCTGTGCTTGGCGAGATTATGACACGCTGCTGGGATGCAGACCCTGAAGTCCGTCCTTGTTTTGCAGAGATTGTCAATCTCCTTGAGGCGGCTGAAACCGAGATAATGACGACTGTGAGAAAAGCCCGTTTCAGATGTTGCATGACGCAGCCAATGACAATCGACTAATCTGTTGTGAAGAAAGAGAGAGGAGAAGAAGATAACATAAAAGGAGAAACAGAGAGACAGAGACGAAGCAAGAAGGGCTTTAGATATTTGTAAGTTTGTGTGTGTATCTATCTATATATTATGATATATCCAATCCGATTGTATCTCTTTTCCCAAGATAGGAGAAGTAACCCAACCATTTTAGACTACTGATTTCTAGAATTTTGTATTAAGAAAGAAAAGGAACAAACAAAGTAACAAACGAAAAAGTACAAGTACGGTGATTGTCTGATGTGTTTGGTTTAGTTTTCCTTGAAATGATAGATGCATGCCTTTTCCTTCGTTGTTCATTGGGTTTCACATTGTACCTTTTAACTTGTGTATCAATGGATTCTCTTACACTGTATGACGAGAAACCACGATTATGAGTACATCTGGTTCTTCTTTTTTTTTTTTTTTTTTTTTTTTTTTTTTATTAACTGATCATCAAATAAATTAAACATGCAACTTAACAGAGAAAAAAGATACAAGAACTTATCATCAAAACTTTGGATAATTAAAATCCACCTTGGAGATCTCTGTAGAGCTTAAAAGGAAATAAAATTTAAACATCAAGACGAACGAATGTTGTCTCTATAATCCTCTTCGCCACTGCTCAAGAAATCCTCCTCACCATCGTCATCGTCTTCATCTTCATCTCCATCTTCATCATCCCCACCATTATCATCATCTTCATCCACACCCTCAGTTATAAACCCCACTAGACCACCAACATCTTCAAGGAGCATCCCTCCATCATCATCATCATCAAATTCGCTCACACTATCTTCATTGTCGTCGCTACTAATATCATCATCTCCACTATCGCTATCATCTCCACCTAGTCCAAGAATTCGGTCCAGATCATCTTCCTCGTCGTCATCATCTTCGTCTTCATCCTCCGTCTCATCATCATCATCAGGATCGGAGTCATCATCTGTTGGCCTCCGTCTCCCAATCTCATACATCCTGGCCGAGGAAAACATATCTTCTTGGTCTTCCATTGTGATCAGCCCAAGGAACGAATCTGTTGGTTCTGTGGCAAAGTCAAGAAGACATCGGTCGACAGGTATAGTGGCAATGTCTGAGTAGTTGATTGCATCAAGAGTGCGGAAAGCAGCAAACAAGGGATGCTTCACTCGTCGTGTGTGAACAGCAGACATAACGTCCTCAATGTTTCTCCTCAGCATTGCGTATATAACATCTCCCCTGGAGTTGAACGTAATAGCTGTCTGGTCCAGTGATGGTACACTTCGAAGAAGCTTGAAATTCCTCATGTCCCAGACCTCTGAGTTTATGATCACCTGTAAGAAGCAAAAACATGTTGATAAGTCAAGAAACAGCGAATAACCTTCTTACTAAATTATAGTTGAGGAGTTAATGTCTGCTGTTGTGAACAGTTACTGAGGAATGGGTTTTTTAAGGTTGTCTTGGAATGTTAAGGTGCGCAATGTTCTAGGGTTTGGTCAACTGAAATAGGAATAATAATTTCATAGCTTTGGTATAATCACATTTAATTTTAAAATGATTTATACATTACCTCATTCCTAGAAGGATGAAAGCCACCACCGCCATAATCAGTAAATTGATCAAACCGTCTGAATTTCTCTGGGACACGGCGGTCCCAGAGTACACCGTTCCACAATATCAGTGTATCGCAAGGGCTGAAGTGTACAAGAGAATAAGGATTACTTCTGGAAGATGTGACTGTGTCCGTGAGTTTATCGCAAGGAGTGCATGTCTGTACGTCATATAGAAGAACATCTTTTGTTGATGCTTCACAAGAAAGCGCTGCAAAACGTAGCCCAGAGTTGCTGAATTTTGCAGCCTTGCATCCATCAAAGGAGTGTCTAGGCCCACCAGTTATAGAAGACGCATCCCACAACTGCACATCACTGGAGCTTGAAGAAAGCAACAACTGAGTATCACCAGAGACATGCGGCTGAACAAGTGTAACCGGAGCTTGGTGACCTTGGAAGCTCTCAAGCAAGCTACCGCTGCTAGCTTCAAATATCTTCATTTCTCCAGCATGACTACCTACTGCTAAATGATTAGTACCTCCAAGAAGTGCAATGCATGTAAAGAGAGCAGTCTCATCCCGGAAAGATCTCCAAGATTTGAATCTGCTGAAAACAAATTGACGATCCCTTCGATTCCCATGGACTCCACTGTAGAAACTTTGAAGCTCACGGGTACCAAGACGGCCAGTGATGTTTAGCGGAGCTTCAAGTAATCGTTTAGGTTCAGGACAGACATGCGGATGTAGGAGAGACACAGGGGGAAGAGTTGTGATTGGAGCTAGGCACTGCCTGTGTTGGTGCTTCAAATA